TCTCTCTCTCTCTCTCTCTCTCTCTCTCTCTCTCTCTCTCTCTCTCTCTTTCTCTCTCTGTCTCTTTTGTCCTAGAAAATGATTTCTGCGAGCGCTGTGATGCGAAAAGCGGTGGAAAAACGAGCGAGGCGGAGAGACTATCGTTTATGCCGTCCTAGTCTTTTTCCTCTTTTCTTCTGTTTTAACTTCCTCCCCGAAGCTGTTATAACGGGTCGTTATGGGACATGCGATTAAATAAAACGTTATTTAGAGATATTTAACGAGAATGCTACTCTTTGTTTAATTTACGCAGTGTGTTCTCAGAACCCTGTACGTTGACACGGAATGTCGACATGATCAGTCGAACTTGGTCCCATGTTTCGCGCGTAATTAACGAGACGCTGACCCGGGGCTGTGCTATCAAACTGTCGTAAATTTCGAATGGATGTTATATCATTTGCACGGGTGTTTTGGTTTGGCGCGCGAGGCCGCGCCAAACGTGTCGGCCACCGCAAACGAAACAAGAAAACCGCGGTTCGACGCGAGGATTAAACTTGCATCCGGCAATCAGCGACGTTCACGGCAAGGCGTCGCTGTTAATCGCGCATTCACCGCATTCACATTTCACGGATCATTAAAATTGTTTGCGATCCACTGTACTCTCCGCGATTACGTAATTCATTTATTGAGTGCATACTCGAGCTCTGTTAAAAATCCCGTTGATAATATCGCACGACGGTATATACCAAGGATACAACGCGATCGAGGGATATCCTGCATATTCTTGCACAATGGATTTTGCGTCTCTTGCAGTAAAATAAGAGCTGAATCGTTATAAAATATACACGGAAAGAATTTTGCTGCTCGCTTTCTGTGTTCGCCATGAAATCTTGAACTGATGAAAGCAAGAAAACACTTGTCCAAAGTTCTTGCGTGCTATCTCCAAATAAAAGAATATCTGTATGAAAGAACACTTCTGATTACTTAACCTCTTGATTATCAATGACTGGAATATCCGCAAAAATAAAAGTGGCCAAAAATGCTCATGACAAAAAAATATTCGCACATTAAAAAAAAAGATATTTCAGAACAACTATCAGAGCAATTAGAACGAGATATTATATTGTTATATTTTTTAATTTAAATATGGAGCCAGAATTGCGAAATTCAAAATGGTAGGTTTAATATGGCGCAAACTTTTTAAACTTTTTTGTCCGATTTATATAAAAATTAGAATTCAAAGGTTTTTGAAACTGTTAATTTCAAATTCAAAATAAAAATTCATGAATTAAAATTCAATATGATAGATAAAAAATTCAAAATATAGTCCAATTTGCATAAAAATTAATATTGAGGGATTTCAATTATTTTTCATCGCCATATTGGATTCATCATTTCTTCAATAAAACATTTTAAATTTAAATTTGGAAACATCAGCTTCGAGAAACCCTCAATACAAACTTTTATGCGAAATATGTGTCAACGATTTTTTAAGTTTTTTGGTTTGCCATATTGGATCGCCCATTTTTAATTTAAAATTTCTGATTTCAGATTTAAATTCAGCAACTTCTCGTGATGATTTTGCCACCTTTATTTTACAATTAAATCTATTGATTATCAAGAGAAAAAGATAGTTTTCGGAACATTTTACAAGCATGCTCAAACGTACTGAAGTGTTCTTTCATTCAAGTATCTTTTCATCTGGAAATGGCAGGCAGGAATTTATTAGACTTAACTAAAATTTTCAACAGATTTACTGGAATTTACTAGAAAATTTTCAGCATATTTTTTTCTCAATTCTCGTCACAATTCAACATGGCCGCGGCGAGGTCCTTAACGCGTTTGATTTCATCAGTTTAATGACTCGATAGATTTGACTTTTATGAAATTTCTCAAAGGAGAAATGGCGCAGAAATATCCGGCAATGAAATCACGTTGAGGCGCAATCCGTCGGCTCGCGCGCCAAGATAAATCGCCAAGATTAATGATCGTGGGATTCGAGTAGCGAATTTAAATACCATGTTCAATGTCGCGCAAATCTCGATTAACTTTGCAAGAAACTAATTAAAAGTTAAGACTAATTATACACGCCGCGTGCCTTATCGCAATTCCGCATTCTTCGGCGAGTTTTCGATTCTTCCCCGGTGGGAGAATTTAATTGGATGTCTCATCTCTCTCGTGACTTCATTATCATTCGGCACTAAACATCTTGGCGATCCCACGCCAGCTGCGAGTTCGCAAATATTATTCGTTCTCTGTAACCGCCGCCTAGTATACAACGTGTAATAGCGAGACAACGTACAACAATGCCTGAAACACGCCCTAAACGGGCTGCTTACACACAAGATGCTTACATACGCGGAGTATAATATCTCCAGGATAAACTCACCCAATCCAAGTTCTTCCTTTCTGATTCTGGCGGCGAAATAATCTGCGGCACTCGGTCGAGCAGTCTGAAAATCCTGCCGGCTGAGATCTTGGCCGTGTTGAAGTTAGGCGCGAATGCGAGCGCCTGGCCGAGCATCCACGAACCGAAGATCAACGCCTCCGACACCTTGATGACGTTCTGATAGTCCAGTCCCTCTCTAGCCACTAAGTATCCGCCATAATAGAGGCTCACGGCATACCCCAAGAAAGGCGCGGTTTGTCCACATGAAAATACCAATCCTCTCAGTCTGTTCTTCACTCTGATCGCTTTAGCAACGTGGTCCAACTCCACGCAGTATCTGTTGAAGAACACGTTCTCCTTGCCGAGGCTGGCGACCGTTCGTATGTTGGAGATCGCTTCGACGGCGATTCGGGTCGCCGCCTCCATCTTCTTCTTCTCCTTCATACCTTGGCCGCTCATGATCCTCGCCTCGAGGAACACCGCGCCGAGCACCAGTGGAATCGACACCACTGAGACTAACGTCATCTTCCACGTGAAGTAAAAGGACAATCCGATACCGAGGACGAGAGTCGAGATGGCCTGCAGGATCGCGCCCACGCGAGTTCCGGTCGCGCCTTGAACCGCTCCGGCGTCCGACGACAGCCGCGCGCACAAAGCGCCCACGCTGTTGGCGTCCTCGTCGTACCAGCCCATTTCTTGCTTCAGCATCGCGCCGAAAGCCAGCTTCCTGATTCGCGTAGTCATACGCACGCCGGCCAAGCCGAACATGTACATCTGCAGGAAAGTGCCGAGCCCGGTGAACACGCCGACGATAATGAACATTATGGAAAAGTTGATGGATTCTTGGCGAACCTCCTCTTCATCCTGAAGACCCAGCACCTTGTACACCTCGCCGAACAACACGGCAAACGCCGGAAAGGACGCGCCTACCGTCGCCGCTGCGATGCATCCTGTGTAGCAATCATAAAATAGAGGATTATTTTATAATAACGATACTAGTGGTGGGAACGGGAAATTGCCGGGACTTTGCGTCCCCGCTATGTTGAAGGAAGGAGAGATTCTCGAACGGGAGGATGTAGAGACAAATGCTGGGAATTGAAAAGATTCTGTGATGTACAAATATGAAGTGATTCTAGGCAAGTTAGGGCTAACGCAGTTATAGAGGTGTGAATTTAATATAATCAGTAGTATTTCACACAAGACAAGTTAATTTTGATATAATACACGAAAAAAATAATTTCGTTAGTGTAATTGAATTTTCTGTAACTTGGAAATTGGATGAAAAATTCAATTGTAGGAACAGAGAGATTTCCGTAAGAGGTTTTTACTCAGCCAATTGCTCGCGGTTATCTCCGAGTTTTAATGTGGCTGTATGTTCAAACGAATGTTTTCGGTTACAATGACAGAAATATTACTTTTCGTCAGTGAATCTTTTGTCTTTCGACTTTTGTCTGATCCCTATTCAGTTACACGAACTGAAATTATCTTTTCGTGTACAAAAGTGAGTGGTCAAACGTCTCGATTCAGCTATGGATCGTCTTCAGCGATTTTAAACCTCTATATGCAATTATATTTTTTAGGACATTCAATACAATCTAGCTCTGTCAGACCTGAGCAGCTTTGAACTACCATAATTTTGTTAAAAATCGATATTTTTAACATATTTTTTCTCAGAAATATAGAAAAGTCTCGGCTACAAGATAGTGGCGTAATAAAATGAAACTCTGCAAATAAGTCTGCGCTATCTTAAAATTCTCCCGGATCTCTTACAAAAGTGGATAAATAATCGAACATTTGTGTGACTCTTACATTATGCGCGAAGGTTTAAGAAATAATTTTTCTTCACGCAAGTAGTTCAGATAATATCCAAAATTGTTTCTTAGATCTAGGATAATCTTGCGTAAATTTACTTTGGGATTATAGAACTGTTACTCTCGGTGGCGAGAAATTACCGATCAGATTATATGGCCATTCCGGCTTGCTCAGTCCGAATATTCTCATGATGGGCGCATTGTAAGGTTTCTCGTGTTCCTCCAATTCATCCTCCGACATTTCGGATCTTTCAGAGAGAGAGAGTCGATGGGAGTGAACGGAGAGTGTGGAGAATTGTTTGTTGAAAGGCGGTTTCACCTTCATCTTCGGGGTGGTCATCTTGTTGACAGTCGTCACTGCTTTGGCCTTGGCTAATGACACCGCGAATAACACGAGATTAATAACACGGGATTAACATCTCGAGCGACGAATCCTTGCGATAAGCGCTCTCGATACGCACCTTTAGCGGCGGCACTGGCGTCGGCGGCGACTAGGCCGTAATAGTGTTTCCCGAGCGCCAGTAATTCCTCGTGAGTTCCCTCCTCGACGACCATTCCGTCCTTGATAAATACGATTCTGTCGGCGTTCGTGATCGTGGAGAGTCTGTGAGTGACTATAATCGTCGTTCTACCCTTCGACGCGGCGTCGAGGGCTCTCTGCACGGTCGCCTCGCTGTGGAGGTCCAGAGCAGAAGTCGCCTCGTCCAGCAGAAGGATCGCCGGTCTCCTGACCAGAGCACGCGCGATCGCGATCCTCTGCTTTTGTCCACCCGACAATTGAGAGCCTCTTTCGCCCACTGGGCTATCGTACCCCTAAAGTCAAGACGACGATTTCATTGTCCCCGTCGTCCTCGGATGTGCGATCGGGTTAATATTGAACGCGGTAATCACGGCAGGGGCGCGTTACCGCGCGAAAATGGATCTTCCGCAATCGAACAGGGACTTCTTGGCATTGTTTGTTAACAGGTGTATTACTTGGTGCAATGCGATGCACTTTCGACCCGACATGATCGCAGAGGAGGAGCGCACGGACGGCTCGAGCGTGTCGTCTCACATCGACGTAATTTCTCGATAATTCTCTCGGCGGAAATCCCTCTCTCTCGCTTTTTCACGGGACAACAATTTTTCCCGCGGCTCGCGCTTTTATTCAGACCCGCGAGAACAGCACTGCTCGCGCACGATGCACGTCTGCAATCGCGGGTGTGAGCGCGGCGATGCCAGGGTATCGGATATATCGATTACCCGGCAGCACTTTTCGAGCGATTTGTGGTTAGAAATAACGATTATTTAATCAAAGCAGAAACAACGTGTCACACCTGCGGTGCATGCGACGCGCGGTTTAATAAATTCATGCATGTCGCCGCGAAACAAGTTACTCGCTGATAACGATGCTCCGAGCTCGCGCGAACTCGTCGGCGGGGAGAAATACGCGTCGGACGCGAGAGGCTTCCCCGTCGGGCAAGGATCTCGCTCGCGAGATACCGCGCGAGCGTATCTCGCGAGCGACGCGCGCAATTTAACAAATAAAGCGATAACAGTGCGAGCGCGCTCTCCCGTATATATAATCCGGAAATATTATCGCGGCGTTTGCGTACACGCGCGCGCACGGCGCGCATTCAATTGCAGCGCTGATAAACTTATACGTACGCGCGCTACGGGCTTCACTTTTCCGATTGTGCTCGCACTACATGGTCGTGCCATAACGCGCAGATACAACCCGGGATAAACTACTACGCGTGCAGGCGCGACGGCGCGATCCAATGGGGCGGTGGCGAATATCGAATTCACCCATCCGATAATCCGCTAATAAACGCCTAATCGTTGACACAGGCGTAATCTCGGATAATGTTATTTGGCCGCGCGCGCGGACGTTTAACACGCATGTTTTATCGCCTGTTTGCGCGCGTACTACGCGAACCGCCGGCCGCACCTGAGACTATTGTTAACACATCCCGTCCGACGCGACAACGGCTGATGACAACGGTTATATCCGGTCGGGAAATTATCCTCGAGAGCCTTCCATCGTACGGCCGGCCGAAAGAAGGCGCCACGTTAACTGTGTTAAACTCGCTCGATCTCATTACGTCAAGCGCTGGACGTTTAATCGCGTCGACCTCCGCGAAAACCCCGGCATACTTACGCGCCTTCACCTCGAAATTCTAACGAAATCGCGCAATTTTCGCCCGTTATTTTACGGAATACCAAAATTACTCTGCTTTGAGTACTTTCCCGATGAAGTTTAAGCGCCCGTCGTTGTGCGCGACCTCGCGCAACAATGGTTTCCCGGCGCACCGCAAACTTTTTGCGTCTGAAAGTCCGAAGTTGTCAGGATATGCGTCGTCGATCACGAGAGAAGAGAGAGAGAGTGTGTGTGTTCATTAACCATGGGATTATGAATCCCCTATGGCTTGAGTAACGCAAAAATAAAATAATAAGAATGAGTACTAGATTCAAAACAAAGAAAAGAATGTATCATAAAGCAATAAGCAAGAATGTCCACGATCGGCTTACAGATTCCTAACGCGAACCAATAGATTCGCACGCAGAGTTCACAGCTGCAACGTTTGCCAATTTTAGACTTAAAAACAAAAAAGAAAAACAGAAAGAAAACGGAAGAACGAAAAAATCTTTGCGTTACCTTTTTTGATGGTAACCGGCAGCCGGGAACACAAAAGAAAAATAGTTTTAAAGAAAGAGAGAGAGAGAGAGAGAGAGAGAGAGAGAGAGAGAGAGAGAGAGAGA